AGAAATATGTACCATTTGCTATGTTTCTCGGAAGCTGACTAATGTAGTACAAACACTGACTCAGAGTGCTTCGGAAATGGTTAGATGAACGTTAGGACAAAAATTGCTTGAATATTATTTCGTGGGGCTAGTAATAGTTGATATATTCCTGGTATAAGATTCTAGTATAAGGCTTCTGTCTCACTGCTTAACGTCAGTCAATTAATGGAATTTATTAATTTTAAAAATGTAATTATTCAATTGTTTTGTCCAGCAGTGGACGTCATTTGGCTGAAAAGAAAGAAAATTATTCAAGAAAAAATAAAGCAAGTGGTTTTAGATTACGTAAATAAGAAATCGAACCCAGAATTGAGCAAGTAAAACTCTCTTACAACTTAATCTCGAAATCAAAACTGAATTACTGATCAAAATAAAGTTTAGTTTGTTTAGAATACAAATTGCTGAAAAATCTCTAATTTTCACATGAAAAATCTTTTGTATTTTTCTTTTTTATCCGATTCTTGTTTTGTGTGTACAATAATAAATTGTGTTCTATCTATCTATCTATCTAAAAGCAAGTCAGAATGAAACTACCTAGTGACTTAAAATACAAAGAAACCTTTACACAAACAAATTAATTGAAACCGACTCTAAACACAGGCCATTAATAAACGAAAATAATTACCTTTAAAAACGAAAGCTAAAACATAACCCACTATATTCTAATCAAAGTTAAATGAAAGAGACAAATACGCGGTCCAGTCAGAAGGGAACATTTGAACTTGTGTTTTACTCATATAGTTTGACTAATGATCCAGGACAAAAATAGCTGTTTGATTTGTTGCCACTTGAATGATTAGCCCTTTACACCTCACGATACGACTACGACCCGATTGTCATTAAACTTAAATGTTAAGATATTTTAGATGTTACTAAAATACAGCAAATTATGAAAGTTAAGGATAAGTTAAGTAAAAGACATGGAATTTTTGTAGGTACCTACTTATGTCATTAAAGTATTTACGTCACGTTATCGTTGAAATTTGCCTTTATTTTTATAGACTACAGAACTACAGTACGTACTTAAGATTTTTTATTTTAACTCTCTATGTCACTAAATTATTATTCATTATTTTGCTCAATCTCACAACATCATCATTATCGTCTAATTTTTTCGTACCCGAGGGACACGTTCCTGGAAAAAAAATACAGTTGGTACTGTAGGTGTTTTAAACATGTCTGTTTAATTCCTTTTGCATTACCTAGCCTACCTTATTTACATACTCTGTCTTCAAACCATTAATAAAACCTTATTTACCTTGCCTTTTGTTCATACATTACCGTTATCATCAAATAAATCGTCACCTCTAAAAGGCATTTTCGATGACTCGATACTCGACCCTAATAGGTCTCGAGAAATTAAGCACTGACATCGGTCCATTGGGTGGGTGGTCTCCTTAATTGAAGGTTTTAATTCCTTTCTTCGTGCTCCGATGCCTTTATAGCCCGATAAGAGTAGGATTGTTGATGTTAGTTTTATGTTGTCCGATAGTATCAAAGTTCGGATCCGTCTGGGGTCAACGGATGAAGCGTAGAAGGTGACAGGTTCGACCAGCTTACAGAACTACATTTTACGGGTATTTCGATTTTTTTAGTAAAGGACATCATCCACGTTTCATATATTTTTGGTCCAAAATCAAAAGTGCCGGCCAACAAAAAAAAGTGCTGTATTCTGACAGAATACGTCTGCCTTAGCATTTGTTACTATGGCACCAAAGTCGTAGCTCCACTGTGCGTCGAGTATTTGAGATCTAAAAGTCATCGACTATTCATACATTTTTTGTTCAAAATCAAAAGTGTCGGCCAATAAAAAAAAGTGCTGTATTCTGACAGAATACGTCCGCCTTAGCATTTGTTACTATGGCACCAAAGCTGCAGCACCACTATGCGTCGAGTATTTGAGATCTAAAATTCATCGAAGATTCATACATTTTTTGTTCAAAATCCAAAGTGTCGGCCAATATAAATAAGTGCTGTCTTCTGACAGAATACGTCCGCCTTAGCATTTGTTACTATGGCACCAAAGCTGTAGCACCACTGTGCGTCGAGTATTTGAGATCTAAAATTCATCGACGATTCATAAATTTTTTGTTCAAAATCAAAAATGTCGGCCAATAAAAAAAAAGTGCTGTATTCTGACAGAATACGTCCGCCTTAGCATTTGTTACTATGACACCAAAACTGTAGCACCACTGTGCGTCGTAGTATTTGAGATCAAAGTCAGTCGTTTCATATAATAATATTTTTAGAACTCAAATACTACGATGGTTTATTTTTTGGCCGGCACTTTTGATTTTGGACCAAAATGGATGATGTCCTTTACGACGTAAATGCTTAGGTATCTACATACTCGTATTATGTAGTACACTTTTAAGACTTGTGAAATCAGTTTTGATTTCTTTGTTTTTATGAAAAAATAATTCGAGAAAATGTAGTCAGCTACGATAATATCTGAGAAACTCCATAATGACATTTATACGATTATTAATTATTAGTCTATGCATTGCTAAGAGGCGTGATTTCATTATGGTTTTATCCTAAACTGAGTCTGCTTCTATGCTTTTTATTACTCCAAGAGTTCTTTTATGATGGGAATATTAGTTTAGATTTGACGGCAGGACGAAAATGGAGGCATCTTCCAACACACATTCCTTCTGAGGAGTAGGAATTTGTCTCTGGTTTTTAGAATGCTGGCTGTTTATCATTTAATGTCTTTTCTAAACACTCGGAATTATTTTGGTTTGAAGATACACGATTTATAAAAGCATCTTTTGACTTTCTGAATTGTTTTAACATTTTTATAAAGTTTCGTTAACCCCTCGTGGTGAGCTAGATATTATTATGCTTGTGTTGAGTGGTTTCACCACAATACTCCAGCGGCGGTGAGGTTCAAACCCGCGTTCATCGAATATCGATTCGACCAGTCCGACACCAACACTATTGGGCTATTGTCCCGTTATTTTCTATTTTTCGATTCAAACTTTTTTTATTATATGACCCTATGTCTTACTTTTTAGTCCGGTCTAATCAGCACAAGAACATTTCATTTATAAATGGTGCTCCGAACATTCGTACCAATTTTCAGCTGTATGCGAATTATTGCAACCTTTTGTATTGTAACTATATTTAATTTGACTGGACTATTTAGAAATCTTTATATTTTATTCAAGTTTTAATTCAATTTACTTACAAGACACTTATCATGCTTTTTTGAAACGGGTGTAACAATTAAATAAAGCACATAATATTTTGTTAAGCATAGTTTATTGTTTATAAAATATCACAGATTACAAAATACATTATTTACAGTAGGCACTAAAGACAGTACCGATTTATTATTTATTATTAACAAAACAAACATTCCTTATTCCGATAGTAGACTTAGCTTCAGTCTTTACAATAACTTAGTTTATTTTAGTAAATGCAGAGTACAAGTTACGGAACTGTTTGCAAAATATAGGAACACGGCATTATTTCATGAAATTATACAAAGATCATGTAATTACTTTTGTATTTTATGTTTACCAGAATTGTCTGTTTTGAACAATACAAAAAACGGTGTTTCTCATTGCATGGGTTTAAAATAGAGATGAAACGGATAGTTGTTTGGCCGGATACCGGATACCGGATATCCGGCGAGTTGCTAGGCCGGATAGCCGGATATCCGGCGGCCGGATAGTTGTCCCATTGTCATGTTGCATGTCGTAACGAGTTTAGCGCTGCACAGGTGCTTCGAACGCGATCAGTAGGTCTAGTAGACTAGACAAGTCACACTTTTCGAAAATCGAATTCGTTCGAATAGAATGTCAGATTTTGCCACTCGTCTAAGTGGCAGATCAATTCGGGCGATTTCGGTTGCCATCGTGAGTATGTGATTGAATAGCGAAAATTCAATTAGTTTACTTGCGGCGTAATCTGAATGAACTGCATTATACAGGGTGACTTTGAAATCGTTGGCATTCTTTTTAAAATAAGACTACTCATGATTCCCCAAATATGAGTCATAACAAATGAATTAAAATTTCAATATTTGAAATCTTGTACAGACGACAGCACATCAATCTTCATATTGTGGCATCTTATTTCAATGTATTAAGTGTTATTTTGCAACAAAATGTATAGGATGATGTGCTGTTGACTGTACAATAGTTTTAAACTCTTTTTAAGAGCACCATGTATCATGAGTAGTCTTATATTAAAAGGATGCCAACGATTTCAAAGTCACCCTAGACATGTTTGGTCTTCTTGGTTTCATCACCTTGGAGTCAAACACCTCGACGAAATATAGTAACTCTTGCGAGAGATGCGAGAATTATAGAGCAATTACACATGGCATTCTAAATATGAACTAGGGACCTCCTAAGGGTGCACCTTCAGCAAAGTTATAGAAGCAGGCAAGGTGAGTGCTGTGTCAGAGAAAACTGAACAAAAAAGTTATGACATCTCGTATAAAATGTCAACTACCCTCATGCCCTGAAAATCGAAAAGATATTTGCTTTAACTGTGCTTTATGTTAAAAATTAATTTATTAAAAATATATAAACTGTTAAATGAAAGCATTTTTAGTTTTATAATAAAACAAAGTAATAGATCTAATCATTAATAAGTTTGATTTTTCATTACAAAGCTATTTTATTTCAAATTATATTTGTGGGGTGACTGGTCACCCCTGTTGCCTTTTACGTATACAAAAAAAGTGTTGCCTGCCGAAGGTTAATATGGCTTTTTTGTAACTTTTTGTACTTTAGATAAAAACCGTCATTATTATAAGCCATTATATTGATATTTGACTCAAAGATTAATGTGTTTCATTTTATAATAGGAAATTTTCGTAGTTTTTTTAATATCCGGTATCCGGCCGGATAGTGAGCTACTATCCGGTATCCGGCCGGATAGTAAATTTAGGCCGGATATCCGGCCTACCGGATAGTTGCCGGATATCCGTTTCATCTCTAGTTTAAAAAGATATTTTACAAAACAAAAATTAAGAAAGTAATGCTAAAACTAACTTAAATTAACAGAAATCAATATTTACAAAGTTGACTATTGCAATAAATTATCTAAAAATACAAACTCAAATTCTATACCTTTTAAAGTTCTGAACCTAAAATATTATACTACCCAATGATTTATTTCGTCAAGCGATTTAGTAGGTCCACCAAAAAAAACATATCTTTGGATGGAATCTTACCTAAAAACTCATCTGTCAAAAAACAAACAACATTTTTCCATCCAAAATCCTATCCAATGAAACAAAAAATTTTATAAAACAAAGAACACTCTATTTTACAAATAGTCAAACAGATTTTGTGTCGATAGCTGGAGGCCATTAGAGCTATGGATAAAGTGATTGGAAAAATCAAACAAATGAAACTCAAATTCCTATAAACATATGGATATAAAAGTCCACGTGGTAAATACTACATGAGTAGATTGACAATATCCTCCTTGAAGGCAAGTTGCAAGAGTTTGATCGCGATTTCATTCCGAGTTCAAAAAGCTTTTCCATCCTAGACCCTATCTCATAAAGCATAAAGTATAAAACATTTGTGGCCCTACTTAACGATGGTCAAGCAGATTTTATCCCGGTAGCTGGTGTCCAGCGGTGCTGTAGGCAGAGTGACAGCCACGTCCACCTTCGAGACCGAAGGTGACGCAGGCATCAGCTCGGCTAGTTGTGACGAACACTCACTGGAGCGTGACGTCATTGTTCGAGCTGTTACAACAAATAAATAGATATTCAGTTATAATAGAAGTTACCTATAAAAGGTCCTCTATAAAAGGCAACGGCTACTGGCTGACTGGTCTGTCAACACACAGCTCAAACTACTTCTTGTTTTGCATTATGGCACGCAGATAGTTATGATGAAGCATCCGCTAAGATTTCACAATTCACCCCCCAGAAGGGTGAAACAGGGATCTAAATATTAATAATTTCATTCCCTATTGAGATAAAACTAGTTGATTGTAAAAACTTTAATGTCACAGCTGAAAATAAACTTCATACGAATTTTACTTACAATTTGTATAACAGCTGGAGGCTGACTCCCCAGATGGGCTGTAAGGCTTCATCTCATAATGGTTGCTGCCAGCTGAAGATTGCTGCCTACTCCTCTGCCCGAAGGGAGACGCGTAACTGGAGAAAAAATTATTTGTCAAGTTGATGACTGCACATAGTTACTTACAGTTACTGAACCCTCGTGACTATGACTTTGGTAATCTTGAACTAATTCAATTCTAGAAAACACTTGGATCATATTCCAGTAATTAGTAATACTAGAAGGTCATCTAAAAAATATGAACGTAATAGCAACGGGGAATGTTGTTAAAAACAAATGGTGTAAAATGGACACCCTATGAAGTTTAAAAGCCACATTGGATTGTATCTCACCTGTCCCTCACGTGGGGCATGTCGTAGTGATTGTCAGGCCCCTGCATCCAATACTCATTACAGGCTCTCGTCAGGTCTGGTGCAGCGTTGCTTTTATTGCTGGAGTATGACTTCGGCATACCTAAGATAAAATATAACTATTGGTAACTGCTCCTGATGGACTAAATAATAACTAAATAAGGACCTTAAAGGGGCCCAAGTCACCATTGAGACGACCCAGGACCGAGCCGCCTGGAGACGCATGATATGGAGGGCCGAGCCCAAATAAAAAGGGGATGGGCCAGGCAAAGAAGAAGGTAACTGTTCATTAAGAGAAACTCTTTATATGATAAATATCCTTACCTGTCCTAGCTGCTATGTAGCCAGGTCGAGAATTCCTGTACTTGCACCAAACGTACAAGATGGCTACTCCAGCAGCCAACATGGCTATCGTAATACCAATTCCAATGTAAAGGGTGGTATTATTGTATAGTCCTAAAAGAATAATGAAGACATTTTAGGAACGGATGATTTTACGTTTAACTTGAAAGGGGGCAAAGAATTCCACATACCATTAGCACATAGCCCGTCAACACAGGACGCATGTTGCAATGTGGACCCAGAGCAAGCGCCCGCGCACTCTCTCCGTCTCACTCTAACGCAGTCTTCTCCACAAGTGGACCACGCACCCCATTGGGACCAGGCTCCACCTAATTGAAAAATAAAGGTTGAGGATATCTGTCTTGGAAATGTTAAGATTTGTAGTGTTGGATCTGGATGACCTCGATACATTTTCCATAGGACTGTTGAATGCATAGAATAAAGCGTAGTTCACATCATGGCCAGAGCAGTGCGGAGCACATTTTAGCCAAAGAAACGCCAATGTAAAACCTTCAGCGCTTTCACCGCAGTTAGTACAAGTTGGTAGCGGACGACATGTAGCAGCAGCAGCCGACGTGTCGCAGCAACACTACTGGTTTTTATGTATTTCTATGAAATACCTACCATTCATAGTAAGCGACACGTCGCCTGGAAGTATTTAATAAAAATACATAAAAAGTAACGTGTCGCGGCGAAACGTCGTCTGCTGCTGCTGCGTGTAATCGGCTACGAACTTGCACCTTAAGAACGACTGTTAAGGATAGAGACGATAGAGTAGATTAGGGAAAGTCACCAGCATTGGAGTGACAGCCTTAGGCCTCAGCCTCGAACTTAGCAGGCAGCGGGGCGGCGGCGGCGGCGGCGCGGGAGCGGCTGGATCTTATGCGTAAAATCAAATAGACCGGTTCTCGAAAACAGCGGCGCGGCAGCGGGGCGGCAGCGGGCAACGAGCGGGCAGCGGCGAGGGAGCGGGCAACGAGCGGGCAGAGCGCACTCCTTCTTTTGCCCACAATAAATCGAGCGTTAGGAATAAATTTGAATCGAAATAAAATTGCTTTGCGAATTCGTTTGCGAATAAAAACAAATATCTCGACAACACAACCCCGAACACAACACTTCGCCGCTAAAGCGCCGCGCGAGCTGCCCGCTTGTTTCGAGAACGGGTCTGCGTTGCCCGCCCCGCTCCAGCACCGCCGCCGCTCCCGCCCCGCTGCCCGCTAAGTTCGAGGCTGAGGCCTTAAGGTTATACTAAGAAATGTTGTACTATCTTACCTCCCTGACACCTCAAACACTCGTCGTCAGTCTGCGTGGCCTGTCCCCTGCACGGCGCGCCGCCATTGGCAGGCGCCGGCTCGGTACACGTGCGCGCGCGCCGCCGGCCGCTGCTTTGGGACCCGCAACGGCAAGGAGACCAGGGCGACCAGGAGGACCAGCCACCGTTCACTGTTTTGGAAAAACCTTTTTACTGCCCAGCTTCGAAATGTCTTGATTTACGAAATCAAGGCCCCTTTGGATAATAAAGGGGTCCAAAGAGGACTACTCCGAAAAGCTGTTTACGTTTTGGGATTATCTGTCACTGTTGCGTTGCGTTTGTCATCTCACTTTGCGTGGGAGGGATAGGAACATTGGAAACTTTGTATAGTGGTTTTCGGAGTCTTTATTTATTAAAAATTTATTAATTTCTGTTATAATTTGTCCTTTGCCACATTGTCGGCCGTTTGGTGTAGTGGTTCAGAACGGACTACTATGCCGAGAGGTCCCGGGTTCTATTCCCGGCCGGGCAGAAATTGAAATGATGAATTTTAATTTCTGTGACGGGTCTGGGTGTTACTATGTATAATATGTATGTATTTAAAAAAAAGTATATAAGTAGTATATCCGTTAAGCTAGCACCCATAACACAAGCATTAAGTTGCTTACTTTGGGGCTAGCTGGCGCTGTGTGAAATTGTCCAAAGATTTATTATTTATTTATTTATTTATTATTGACACAACTCCGTACGAAATTTGATTTCTCACAGAAGACTCACAAACTTTCGCCTTTTTATTAGTGTGATAGATGGATGTCCTTGCCGAGGGGTTTACCTTTATCTTTTTCTAAATGCACGATAAATTAAAGCTATTTATTAGGGTAAAACACTACTTTCATTTCAATAAAACCGCAATCCTTAGAAAGTCACAATGCAGTAAACTGGGTAGGCATCATCAAAACTTCGGCTTTGTTCGAAAACCCTATAAAATGCATTCGCAGGGAACAATTTTAATTTGAAAACTTTCCGCTGGACAGACGCGACTGAAGCCTCAAAACGTAGTAATGGTAATAACGTTGACTATCTTAATATTGAAATACGTATACATTTTTTATTCGTACTCGTATTACACATGATAATTGATTAATCATAAAAAAATAATTACACCGAATTTATTTTCAACCAAAGTTTTTCTGCCGCACTATTTTCTAGTGACTAATATAAAATTATCATATTATTATTAGTTCATGCTGCGAAACATGTGTCTAGTTTCCGTTTGACATTGTCTCTTACATTGTTATTGAGCGTCATAACCGCAATTTATCACACCATTGGCCCCTGATCTAATACTTTATTTATAACTTGCTACCATTCGCCGATCAGAAAACGTGTATTCATGTAACCAAATAGTCATATTAACTAAACTATGTCATAACCATTTCCGACCGCACGCCATTCGTGGAACCATCGCTCGTGGCTTCCTGTCCGTTCCCAGTATTGTCTGTAACAGTCGAATTCCGATGCAAATCTGTTTTCGCTCGTTCAGTCCTTACACGCGTTTCTAAGTATTTGTACACCTGCTAGAAATTGTTTCTTAAATCCTTTCTAATTGCTGCGAATTTCAGCGTGGGAGTTGCTTTACGAGGAGGAAATCTCATTAGACATCCAGCTTAGGGGTCATCCATAAAGTACGTCACACGTAAAGAGGGGGGGAGGGGGTCGACAAAGTGTGACGTGGTGTGACAAGGGGTGGGAGGGGTCCTAAGTTTTGTGACATCACATTTCGAAATCTAATATATCTAGAGGTACTAATCACGTAATTTGAAATATAAATTAAACTGAAAAATACCCCCACCACTTAAGCACAACTCCGTCGAAGTCGAAAACCTAGGAGAGTTTTAATGGGCAACCAATGAAGCCATTAAATCAATAAAATCTTTTGTAGGAATTATTTCACATTTAAAATCTAATTCTACTGGCCTATAATGCCGCCAAATGAACCGTACCTCGCGCGTGATTTTATTGTTTCTATTTGTTGCTATTTTTTGTTAATTTAATAATTTTTCGATGTGAAATTGCAAAACATGTGACGTCACACTAGGGAGGGGGGGGTCTCAGAAATGTGACCACCTGTGACAAGGACGGGGGAGGGGTCAAAAAATCATGAAATTCGCGTGACGTACTTTATGGATGGCCCCTTATTCCTAATGACGCATAATGTCATACACATTGGAAGTTGGAGGAGTAAGATCTATTCGGGGTAACTCTTTTAACTCTTTTTGTATTTGTGGCAAATGTAAAATAGAAGTGTATGTTTGTACAAACTTTGTAATGTCCGAAATTTCATTTTCTACTAAATCCGAAAGTACTAAAAATAATCATCAAAACTTAATAAAGATCTATATACTTTCGAGTGAGATAATAATATCTAAAGCTAATACTACTATAATAATGTCAAATTTTCCTAGGGTTTTCGTAGCCCCAGCCCTACATTCGCTGTTAATATTTTCACTTTGCTGATGCTGGGTCAAAAAGCTTTCTTTTTTGTCACAATAGTATTTTTTGTTTGTCTTAAAGTTTGAACACCGCTACGCCTACTGTATCTGTTTCATTTATGCTACTTATTTACAGATCTGGGTGAGCTTCTTTAGTGTTAGTTAATTACAGTCATGCAAATTGTTTTACTATCTTGTTCACTATTTAGTGCTTTTATACGGGCTTGCAAATACAACTAGTTTTACTTGGCAATAAACGCGCTCGGCTTAGTGCAATTTTGTATGAGAATTGCTACGTTTGTAAACTAAATGTTCTAACTAAATAGGTACTCAGCGAAATTAACTAAGTTTAATATTATAAAAGTACCGGCTCTTTTTGGAAATACTTCCTATAACTATTTCCAATTATAAAAAAAAATAAAACCGACTCCAAAAAACCTACACTAAAAAGTAGAAAAATAATTACTAATTTATTAGGACGAATTAATTATTAATATTTATGTAGGTATACCATGATTGATACTTCTGGAGTCGGTGCCAAGATTATGAAACATGTAAAGTTTGCCTGCACCGACTCCAAAAGTATCAATCATGGTATACCTACATAAATATTAATAATTAATTCGTCCTAATAAATAAGTAGGTAATTAGTAATTATTTTTCTACTTTTTAGTGTAGGTTTTTTGGAGTCGGTTTTTTTTTTTATAAAATTTTACTTATTTCTTGCTTTTTAGTTAACTAATTATTACCTTGATGTTACCACTGAAGGTAGGCAGTACACTGAGACCAAAAAAAATTGGTTCATAATCGGCGGAGATATTGCGTATAAAAAAGTTCATCCCCAATTTTCCACGCTTGGGGGTGAAATATTTTCTTCAAATTCGCATGAAACCACCCTTTTGATAATACCTATTCAACAAAAAAATAATCGTTCAAATTGGTTTATAATCGGCGGAGATATTGCGTATAAAAAAGTTCATCCCCAATTTTCCACCCTTGGGGGTTGTTTTNAGGGGTCATCCATAAAGTACGTCACACGTAAAGAGGGGGGGAGGGGGTCGACAAAGTGTGACGTGGTGTGACAAGGGGTGGGAGGGGTCCTAAGTTTTGTGACATCACATTTCGAAATCTAATATATCTAGAGGTACTAATCACGTAATTTGAAATATAAATTAAACTGAAAAATACCCCCACCACTTAAGCACAACTCCGTCGAAGTCGAAAACCTAGGAGAGTTTTAATGGGCAACCAATGAAGCCATTAAATCAATAAAATCTTTTGTAGGAATTATTTCACATTTAAAATCTAATTCTACTGGCCTATAATGCCGCCAAATGAACCGTACCTCGCGCGTGATTTTATTGTTTCTATTTGTTGCTATTTTTTGTTAATTTAATAATTTTTCGATGTGAAATTGCAAAACATGTGACGTCACACTAGGGAGGGGGGGGTCTCAGAAATGTGACCACCTGTGACAAGGACGGGGGAGGGGTCAAAAAATCATGAAATTCGCGTGACGTACTTTATGGATGGCCCCTTATTCCTAATGACGCATAATGTCATACACATTGGAAGTTGGAGGAGTAAGATCTATTCGGGGTAACTCTTTTAACTCTTTTTGTATTTGTGGCAAATGTAAAATAGAAGTGTATGTTTGTACAAACTTTGTAATGTCCGAAATTTCATTTTCTACTAAATCCGAAAGTACTAAAAATAATCATCAAAACTTAATAAAGATCTATATACTTTCGAGTGAGATAATAATATCTAAAGCTAATACTACTATAATAATGTCAAATTTTCCTAGGGTTTTCGTAGCCCCAGCCCTACATTCGCTGTTAATATTTTCACTTTGCTGATGCTGGGTCAAAAAGCTTTCTTTTTTGTCACAATAGTATTTTTTGTTTGTCTTAAAGTTTGAACACCGCTACGCCTACTGTATCTGTTTCATTTATGCTACTTATTTACAGATCTGGGTGAGCTTCTTTAGTGTTAGTTAATTACAGTCATGCAAATTGTTTTACTATCTTGTTCACTATTTAGTGCTTTTATACGGGCTTGCAAATACAACTAGTTTTACTTGGCAATAAACGCGCTCGGCTTAGTGCAATTTTGTATGAGAATTGCTACGTTTGTAAACTAAATGTTCTAACTAAATAGGTACTCAGCGAAATTAACTAAGTTTAATATTATAAAAGTACCGGCTCTTTTTGGAAATACTTCCTATAACTATTTCCAATTATAAAAAAAAATAAAACCGACTCCAAAAAACCTACACTAAAAAGTAGAAAAATAATTACTAATTTATTAGGACGAATTAATTATTAATATTTATGTAGGTATACCATGATTGATACTTCTGGAGTCGGTGCCAAGATTATGAAACATGTAAAGTTTGCCTGCACCGACTCCAAAAGTATCAATCATGGTATACCTACATAAATATTAATAATTCGTCCTAATAAATAAGTAGGTAATTAGTAATTATTTTTCTACGTTTTAGTGTAGGTTTTTTGGAGTCGGTTTTATTTTTTTTTATAAAATTTTACTTATTTCTTGCTTTTTAGTTAACTAATTATTACCTTGATGTTACCACTGAAGGTAGGCAGTACACTGAGACCAAAAAAAATTGGTTCATAATCGGCGGAGATATTGCGTATAAAAAAGTTCATCCCCAATTTTCCACCCTTGGGGGTTGTTTTTTTTATTATTAAATTTAAATGGGACCACCCTTGAGGTATTACCTATACGCCGAAAAAAGATTTGTTCAAATCGGTTCATAATTGGCGGAGTTATCGCGTAAAAAACATAGAAAAAAAAAAAAAAAACATACGGGTCGAATTGAGAACCTCCTCCTTTTTTGAAGTCGGTTGAAAAGTAGAGGCATGGGCATCATTGGCTTATACTAGTGCAAGCTACCCTTTCTCTGCTAGTTGCAAAATTTTTGCCGTCATATTTCGAGGTTTTTTTAGTTACGAGTATCTTTCATTAGAATCTTTCACTTCTAAAATCCGAGTTTTTTTATGCAGGACAAGGCAGGTATTTGACCGCAATCGTATCTGGTTTTAAGTAAGATGCAGTCTAGGAAGGTACATATCTGCCCTGTAAGTGGCTATTCACTCTCGCCTTGAAAAGGCCCGGACTTGTTTTCTTATCAGGGTGCTAACAACTAGTTTTCGTCATTTGTTGTTTAAATAAATTATGGTGTCCTAACAACACTTTCCATGGAGTATACTCACCATAGACAGCTAGCACCGCCACGTCCGACTCCCTCCGGCCTGCGATGTTCTCGGCCACGCACGTATAGTTCGCCATGTCCTACAACACACGCGGTCGGAATCACTAATGCGGTTGAGGAGTTATGCACTAACTAGTTAGCGTTGTCACGTCTGATTGCTTAATCCACCTGAGCTTTCATTTTAATTAAAATTTTAACAAAGGCATTTTAGACAGTGAATAAAGTAACACTTTATTTATTTACGTTATTTGTCGTCATCATCATCATCATCATGTCAGCCATAGGACGTCCACTGCTGAACATAGGCCTCCCCTAATGCTTTCCACGTTGATCGATTGGTAGCGGCCTGCATCCAGCGCTTCCCTGCTACCTTTACGATGTCGTCGGTCCACCTTGTAGGCGGACGTCCCACGCTGCGCCTTCCGGTACGCGGCCTCCATTCCAGACCCTTGCTGCCCCATCGGCCGTCAGTTCTGCGCACTATGTGCCCTGCCCATTGCCACTTCAGCTTGCTAATCCGTCGGGCTATGTCAGCGACTTTAGTTCGTTTACGGATTTCCTCATTTCTGATTCGATCTCGCAAAGAAACACCAAGCATAGCCCTCTCCATAGCACGCTGTGCAACTTTGAGCTTCTGTATAAGGCCTATAGTGAGAGGCCACGTTTCCGAGCCATAAGTTATCACTGGTAACACACATTGATTGTAGACTTTCGTCTTCAGGTATTTGTCGTACCGTCGTTATACTTAGTTTTTTTTTTAATTGCCTTGATGAAGATAAGGTTGCCACCTGTAAAGTATCTTCAGCTTCGGCAGCTAGCGGCACGCATCGAAACGTTCCCCTACCCTCTTCTACGATAGTCAAGTAGAGCATCATTACCATTGTCATTACCTGTAAGCCTAGAGAACTTGGCTTACCTGCAAGCTAACTTTTGGCAGGACCAACGTTTCGTCCGTAGCCTCAATGACTACTCCTGTCTGAGTCCAGCTGCTCTCTTCCACTATAATCGAGTTACTGTATCGTCACTCATAGTCGAAGTGTGTGGACATACCTGCAAGCCAACTTTTGGCAGGACGAACGTTTCGTCAGTGGCTTCAATGACCACTCCGTTCTTAGTCCAGCTGATGATAGCTGGTGGAGCTGCGGCTGGCGGCACGCATCTGAATGTCACCTCCTTACTAACTTCTACTACAGCCAAGTAAAGCTGTATGTTCACCTATAGTAAATTTTCTCGAGCTTACCTGCAAGCCAACTTTTGGCAGGACCAGCGTTTCGTCAGTGGCCTCAATGACCACTCCGTTCCTAGTCCAACTGATGGTAGCTGGTGGAGCGGCGGCTGGCGGCACGCATCTGAAGGTGACTCCTCTGCCCGCTTCCACTGTGGCTGACTGAGGCTGCTGAGTGAACTGCTTCTTTATATCTGTTGAGGGAACGAGGGTTCAGATATTTTTACAGTATCCTTAAAATTTGCATATTTGCAATAAAATGTAGATTTAAAGGTTAGTTTTGTGTCAATGTTATTTGACTTTATGTTTTATTGTCAGATGCTATTAGCGCAGACTAGAGTGGATATGACAAATCCATATTTTTCTGAAAAACACAAACCCTCCTACACCCCGCTGTAAGTAGGTAAAGGTCAGCATTTCAAATTCCGAAACTGGTAGAGTTTATGATACTAAATAAATAACTTTCCGGATACCGGAAACACTTATTACTGTCAAAGTAAAATACTTGAGATATGATTGATCGCTTCAAAGGGAAATGTCCCATCGTCCCGCCCACGCACTTTTTCTTCAACACTTCAAACCCTGACGGGAGCTGACGTTGACGTCATAGAAATGACTCCACCACGCCCAGTACATCCAAATAAAGCTAGTGGGTATTTATCAGGGCTAGGGTTAACGAGCGGAAGCAATGCTTCCTTCGAGTAATGGTGCCACCCCTTGGGTGAGGGTAAAAAACTTTACGACATGCAGGCTTGGGTATTGCGTATATTTACGGTGTACGACCCTTGTAGTTGTAGTGCTAAGTATAAGATCATTACGGAATATATGGAGCACTTGTCCCATAAATTCACTTTTTAGTTTAGATGAGGGTTTTTTCTATTTCTGTCAGTGAGTGGCGGCAGATCTGCACTTGGAATTATAGTCGTAGGTTTTATCAGTCAGTGGTGGCATATCTGCACTTGTAATTATAGCCAAGTGTACCGACTTGATGGCACATGGTCCAAAGCTCCAAACTCTATAATGTTTATTACAATTTTTTTTGGAAATAATTTCATCTTAAAACTTGCTAATTTTTATGTCATTACTCGTACTCATAGTTTATAGCTAGGGCATCATAGCGTTCCAGTATACAAGTATATTATTGAGCATCAATGCTCAAATAAAATCCTATCACCCTTTCAAGAAAGTCGTGACAATCTGAAACTAATGGATTTTTAAAGGTTTGTTTGCTTTTCTAACTTACACATTCACTGTCAGTCAAAACAAAAATGCATCAGTTAAATTTACTGTTAAGGTGTCTCGTGAAAATCGAGCAGCATGTGGGATATTGAATCCTAAAGCGAGTGACTGCACGTGACATTTCTATTATAAACTTTCGGTAAAGCCCAAAATCAGTTACAACACACAGGTCCACATTCCTATTAATTTTAGAAAAGTTATTCTGTCACTGGATTGAGATTTGGTTCTTATAGCGTTTTCTCTTTGGTAAACTAAATTGAATCTTCTTCTTTATTATTGACTAATGAAAAATACATTATAACTATGTACTAACGCGTCATTTATCTAGCCCAAAGATTAAAGCTGGGTTGCACCATCTTACTTTAACTTAGACAAATGTCAAAAATCTGACAAACTCATACAAAAAGCACCGGATATCGTTTAGTTACTGTTAAGGTTGGGTGGTGCAACTCAGCCTAAGTAGAGTTTGAAATTAACAAATCGCTCACTTATGTAGGTAACAGTTCTTCACGAGATTCGAAGCCGATACCACAGCTAGCTATTGGTCTCATACTTGATGAGAGTATGACTGAATTAGCACCTTTCACATCTGTCGCAGTATTTCAAACCGTGCCTTATTCGGTGTCACTCTGAAATCATTTCAGTGTCACTGCATGAGACTTACACCCATCTCTGTCCCTCTCCCACATCAGACAGAGAGGGTAAGCGTTAATTGTCTCTGAAGCTTTATTTCGGTCTTTGTTTTGGCGGCTTCCTGCTTTTGGTTTTCGTTGCATTGTCTCATTGTGAACGAATTTTCAATTTATAGTTTCTGGCACGAGTTGGCGAGGGGATGATATAGGGGAGCTTTGTATTTTTATTCAATGTTTCTTGAAATAGCAAAAAGTGGCTACGGCTGGAGGGATTAAAATGGAAACGGTAATAAGTTTCTTATTCGTTGGAGGTCTTTGTAGAATTAAAGCTAGCTTTGTCCAGCGGTTTTGCCCGCTTGGTCTGTCGGGATGTTGTTTACAATTTTATAGATTTAAAATTTGCACGGATACCTAATGTTTTCTAAATGTAATAATTATTTACTCCTTGCAACATTAGTTTCATCCATTTTAAAATCCTGTTAGGTATACTTCTTAAACGGGTAGGTATACCAAGTATAAAGGACGTAGCACACTTATCAACTCGGAAAGGGATCGTAACCGTATCAATTTGAATATGAAACTCTATACTGCAACGCACACTTATTCGCACCGTAACTTAAACACCTCGCCTCGCGGTTGATAGTGCGCGAAAGGCAATGACAGCTCGCGAAAGGCGATACGGTGTTGATTCCATTTTTGAGTTGATAGCTCTGCTATGACCTTTAGACGTATAGGTAAAATTATTTTAAGGGCATATCTAAATGCATATTTAATGCACAAAGATAATTAACTAGACAATTAAATCCACATTTCTATTTCCAATACTTAATTCCAGAATAATCGTCAGATAATCTCACTCAAGCCGTTTAAGCATTTTAACGACTATAACTAGATCTTTTAAACGTCTCAATTACATTACTTTAGTTTCCTTGTCGCCGTCTGCCTTTTAATTACCCTTTAAAGTAAGTTATAAATATCTGAGAGGTACTTAATGAGCCCGTCTCGAACTGTTATGGCTTAATCGAACGCCGGTCGTGTATTTTGAGTATGAAGTTTATTTTTAGTCAATGTAGAGATATAAAAGCTGCTTAAAATACTAGTAAAGTAGAACTAGGTAACACTGAAATTGTTGGTACAGTCGACACCAAATTAGAGACAGATGCATTTTTGTTGCAAAAGAGCTCATATTGCGACTACATAAGATACTATTGAGTTAAACGTTGATTTGTCGTATGTTATTATGGTTGATAGTATATCAGACTCTACATAATGACACATAATTACTTATTTGGTTACTTATTTATTATTTACTAGCGACCCGCCCCTGCTTTTCACAGGTACTATTATACTTAAAAACATAGATAGGGACAGACAGACAGGAGAGCGACTTTGTTTTTATACTATGTAATGATAATGATGATAATGTGGATGTGTGTGCTTAGTACCTACTCCTACATGAATCAAAACTTTTTTATTAAGTGTATTTATGCGAACTATGAACACTTTTTTGTCACTTTAAGTGCCCCAATAACTTAATAATAACAATTAATTTTAATGTTCAGTTCAATAAAATTTAATATCCAGATTACGGAACCTTCAACTAAATCCTAATCACTCTTTACTATCGATTTCATTATCGGTTAAAATATTTATTTTCCCTTCGAATGTCTTTACGATATTCGGCATTATTAGTCTACTGCGAGCATTCGCCGAGCATCGTCTACACCTATAAATTAATGCTCGAATACCGCAGGCTAATGACATAATTTACATATTCATCAAGCGAACTTCCGTTTACATGTACGCATTTGATTCGTAAGGGAAACCAATCATAGTGAAGTTTTGTACAGTAAACTCTGTGCCGTGCGACGAGAAACGGAGACTATTCCCACCTCTCGTTCCCACCGCTGCAACTCCTGTGTAGCCAGGTTCTACAGCTGTGTGCGACAAGGAAAACAATGGGATCTGATGATACAATACTGAGTGATAAGAAATTGTGAGCCAATTTTTTAGATCCATGTAACAGTCAATGAAAAAGTAATGCAATATTAGAAATCTTGAATTGAAATGAAATTTTCTCTTTAAGGTAACGTGAAGATGAGGAATAAACCAATGAAGAGCTGATTAATTTTTGTCCGTAACAAAAGACAGTTTACATCAGCTTACATAACATCACATCTAATTTGTTTCTCAACATAGCTCCTGTAACATGCTACAGTACCTACATAGCTTATTATTTTTAATCCGAAAAAAGTTAGTTTTATCCCACCAAAAACATTCTGTAAAAAATTAGCCAAGTCTCGATGGAAGTCANGCTCCAAAGCGTACAAACATAATAAATATAATAAATAATAAGGTGTGAGTAAAATGTTATTAATAGTAGTATATATATATAAAAAAGTATATATATATATTTAAAACAATATAGTACCTATATTGTTTTAAACTTTCATGGTCAACATAATAAAATTATTATTACTGACGGGAATGCTACCACGTACCTTAATTTTGAGTTTCCGATATTTCGGCACTGTTGCAAGCGCCATGGTCACGGAGTAACAACATATTTTATGTTATTAATGTATCTTTCAAAATGCATGTAACTAGGTGTATTACCACAGAATAATAATAAGTACTACGTACAGAAGTTTTACTTCGCGAAGGTAATTAAAAAAATGTATGCTCAATGTCATTAACAATATGGTGTAATTTAGCCTGTCTCAAGAGTCAAGCACCATTTTGTTGACAAACGTCAGTGATCGGCACTGCGCCGAAGCTATAGGGCTGACTTCGATAAAATGATGTGACGTGAGGTGCCAAACTGCGGAAAATGGCGGAGGAAATACATGATTTAGCATGAATTATCATGAATAATATTAACTACTTATTTACCTCTCAGTGTCTTGAGGCAACTTAAAAAAGTAACATTCTGTGTTTTATTTAGGCAGTTAAATACTGCACAGTATTTATTACTCCATTTTCTTTATTTTCTTCCATCATACACAAGAATACGCGTGCGTGAGTCAATGTTCGCTCGTATGTGAGGCCTTGTCGAATAGTATCCTGTAGGTGGGCCATCGTGCGTGTTTTGTTTTCGATGTAAACTCGCGTAGATGAACAGGCCTGGTATTACAAAGTACAAAAAAAACAATGTAAAGTCATAATATCGACCTGCTTCAAAGGCTGTTTCAAATATCTAATAAAATAAGAGAGAAAAAATTCTGAGAAGGCATTATTTAATTATTCAAAAATTTCCCTTTAAGGTACGCTCATAAAAACTTGAAAACGGAATGAAATGGCTCATTATTTTTTTCCAGAATTGGGTACTAAGTCAATCCCAAAAGTAAAAGTTGTTCGTACTTAATTACGAGGATATTCATACTTTTTTCCGACGCTATGTTATGCATAGACTTGGTGCGGAAACAATTTTCTGACCCCGATTATTTTTTAAATTGCTGCAGACTGCTCAACTACCGCTGGCCTCTGCCGGGAATATTGCTGAAAAAATTAAATAAACGTCAGCGACTTAGGCTGCGTCCACACAGTAATACATAAAGCTTGAGCTTTAAAACATATCCCACCAAAAACATTCTGTAAAAAATTAGCCAAGTCTCGATGGAGCTGCCTGTTTATCTCTAAAAAGTAATGAAATCTAGACAAAGTCGTGCCAAGTCTATGGTTCCTTACTGCGATTTCTTTATTATTATATTTAATGTTGTGTGACTTGGCCGTTGAAGGGTACCAAACCAGATGCTCCATGACACCATTGCACCAATCTGTCGCCAAATCCGCTACCCATTGACGATGGAAAAAAAATTGCACTTGGAAAACGTTGATGCAATAACCAGTCAATTGTAGGCTTAATGAAGCTGCGTATTTCAATAATACTTATGTATGATTATCTTAATAAAGATTGTTCAACGGCCAAGTCACACAACATTAAATATAATAATAAAGAAATCGCAGTAAGGAACCATAGACTTGGCACGACTTTGTCTAGATTTCATTACTTTTTAGAGATAAACAGGCAGCTCCATCGAGACTTGGCTAATTTTTTACAGAATGTTTTTGGTGGGATTTCACTTCTTTTTGTAGAAAGTGGCATAATTTTTTCTACGATATTAAACACAAATAAACTCGACGACCTTAAAAATGGACAACGAATCAGAAATTGTTTTAATAACAAGTGCCACGCCATCTAGCGATGAGCGGTACAGGCGAACACCACGGTTGCCGGTGTGGCGCTAGTAGTATTGATTGTGAATGTGGTGTTACTCCAGATCTTCGATTTTCCTAGTTTTTATAGTTTTCCCTTTATGTAGTCATTAAACTCTGACTCTGTACCAAATTTCAGCTCTCTGAGTTAATGGGAAGTACTAGTTCTATTTTGATGATCATCAGTGAGTGAGTGAGTGAGTGTCGTAAATGCGAAACTTTGCTTTCGCTTAACTTCGGAACTAAATGACCTACAGACTTGAAATTTTGGATTTTAAGTATGTGATTATAGCTTACTAGATGACAAAAATTTCTGCGTTCTGGTCTTATCCAGAGGTTCTCAAATAGAGGCCTGAAAATGCGGCGAAATGGTTCCAGTAAAGATGGTACGGCAGTGTTTGCTTCGCGCTCGACTTGGCGGGGGCACTGCCGTGCCCCCAGATCAAAACGAACATCAACTTCCACAATAAAAGACCTGTTGCACGTTTTACAGTAGAAAGAAATAGCCCTGCTGGCCCTACCTGAGCTATCAAGCAATGTTACTAGGCATACATAATGCAATAAATCCTCGTCCAAAGCTGTAATTAAAACTTTAAACATTTTAATTAAAGGCACTAAATCTGGTCGTGACTGAAACCACGAGGCTAACTTATAATCAAGCGCTGGTAAATATGTCTAAGTCGGAGTTATTTCATAGAACTCGTGATTGAACTGATAACGCATTAATAATTTATGAGGTTTTGTGGGATGTGGTTGTGGGGCTTGTTAGTTTTGTACCACTCTATTATTCTTAGCACAAAACCCAATACAGCCTTAATTCTGATATCAAATACCGCAAAGAAAAGGGTTGGTTAGAAAATCTTCAATAATTTTGTGTTCAATAGGTACTAGGGACTATAGGGACCTAGTTTTATGAAATAAATACAAATGTTAATAAAATCAAGCTTGTTTTGTTTTTATTGTTTAACATGAAAATGCGTAGTTTTTCCAGTATTTATCCGTAACAAGGCAGGTATTTGACGGCATCACACCTGGTGTTAAGTTAGATGTTATAATATAGCTCAGGTACTTTTGAAGACATTGAAGATTTTCTAACCGACCCTTTTTCTTTGCGATCCAGTGTATAAGACTACGACAACGATTTATCCTTTCTGTATTTGTACAAACGGCAGCACATCAAACTAAATATTGAGGTATCTTAAACAGTTTTAGTAAGTGCAATTTTGCAACAAAAAATTTACTGCTGTCGACTGTATATTCACACACATCGTGTATATTTCCCTATTCAATTTGTTACTATCCGACGTGGGACGAGTTTTTGTCAATTAAACAATAAATTTCAATGGACGAAAGCCATTAAATAAATTAGTGCGAAGTAATTGGGCCGCTGAATTAAAGAATAGCTTTCAAGTCAATGTCGACCAAGGACTTTATTAAGTAGCTTGCTTGGAATGATCTATAATATAGATAGAGTTAATAATTCAACTCATAAAGTAATTTGACCTACTTAGGCTGGGTTGTACCACCTTACTTTAACTTTGACAAACGTCAAAAATTTGTCAAACTCCATACAAAAAACACCGGTTATTGTTAAAGTTACGGTCAAAATTAGATGATGCAACTCAGCCTTAGTGCCTTAAACTGATTTAAAACTTCACTTTTTCAAGTCATTCATGAGTTTTTCAAATAAACAATTTGAAAAAATTTAACTGTCTAAGGTGGGAATTGAACCCATGACCTTTCGCTTGCATTGTTTGTTTGTTTGAGAAGCGACTCTAATCGCTAAGCAATTTTAATTCATTTGTCTGTTCTGAGATAGAACTCTGGGCCACCGAATCAAGATAGTTTTAACACTCTTTATCTATCTAGACCACCGTAATGTTGCATTTGTACCTAATTTAAAGGACTTAATTAAAGTACTTACAAGCATACTCAATGAACACCGACTGACTCCGTATCCTGCCTTTGCTATTCCACGCATAGCACTCACACCCGTACGTCCCTCCGAAGTACTCATCCACCTCGTTCCTCGTCACGTTCAGTTCTGCTTCGACTACCCTCACTCCATTATGAGGATCCACGTGTTCCAACTGCACAGTCTTTTCTATTCTTACTCCATTGCATTTGAAGAACACTTGAAGAGCATTTGCTGCTCTGCAAATTAGCGTAGCTGGTCTTGTTCTAAGAACGTAGGAGTTTTTAGGCTCTAGAAGGAATATTGGGAGACCGTCAATGGTTTCATCGTTTTCTGGTAGAGGAATATAATCGTCTTCTTCTTCTACTGGTTTGAAGTCGGCTAAGTAAGGGTCGAAGTCGGATAGACCGTCTGGATGGATGTATTCTGGTCTCATCTCTTTTTCTGTAGAGTGTTCTGTGTCTGAAACAAACATATTTATATTTTTAGAATAGCAGACTTACACTCGTATTCACAAAAGATACTTGCTTAAGTGAAGCGGCAAATCGAATGCACAGCGTTGAATAGAGCTTTGTGATTGGTTCGTGTGTGACCCTGTGCATCCACGCGCACTGTGAGACCTCATAGTAATGTTTGTGAATACGGGCGTTAATTAACATTGCCTTTGTCTTGTTGATTGTGACTCATATGGATTGTTCTACTTTGTGTTGTCTACTTTGTAACAGAAAAGAATAACGAAACTAAGTTAAATTATTAGAAACACTAATCTAAACATGCATACGAAATGAAATACTCTGATCAATTAGAGTGGAAATGTAATGATATTCTTTAATACGAATAGTTTATTATATAATTTATTGATCACTAATCTATTGGATAGTGAAATATTGAAGTGATTATACTCTCTGTTAATCCCTTGATTACAAAATTATCTGTTTGTCATTTAGAATCCAATAGCTTAATGGAGTAAACAATTTGAGTTTATTACTAACTACTAAGGAGAATAAGATTTTAACGCTCGTACCTATTCACATTCACAAACGATACTTGCTCAAGTGAAGCAGCAAATCGAATGCACAGCGTTATTAAATATATAACTCCGTGATTGGTTCGTATGTCACTCTGTGCGTCCACGCACACTGTGAGACGTCTAAAGTAATGTTTGTGAATACGGGCGTAAGAGAGACTCGTCATCATCATCATCATCATTTCAGCCATAGGACGTCCACTGCTGAACATAGGCCTCCCCCAATGCTTTCCATGTTGATCGATTGGTAGCGGCCTGCGTCCAGCGCTTCCCTAAGAGACTCACTTGAGAGCAGCTCAAGCGTGGAAAAAACTCGATAATCATGATTCTCACATATTATTTCTAATTTATTTAGCACAATAACCCATAACACAGAAGCATTAGAAATCCAAAACAACAATCACTATCAAACAACTCCACATTAATCGCCAGTCGCAGAACGGGTCCGGCTACCGTACCCTCGGATAAAAAGCTACCTGGTCATTGACAGGTCCAGTACCGGACGGACCAATTTGCGGGAGATTGCTAGTCGCGGAGCACATATAGCTTGCGCTTCGAACGTAAGCTTTCACGGCGTTTTAAATGGACAGACGGTTGGTTTTGTATTAATTGGACGATGATTTTGGATAGGTTTAGATATTTTTGGTTGGATTTAAGATCTTTAGATTAAGATTTTACCTTTTGCAGGGTGATATTTCTGATTTCAGTAATTTACCAGTAATTTGTTATTTTTATGTCAATTTCTAAAGCTTTATGTGATATTTTTTTCTTAGTCAATATAGATCAAGTCATATCTCTGTGTGTTATTGTAAAATTATAGGTGTAATCTGTTTTTTAGGCTATAATAATATATGAGACATGCTCAATTTCGATAAATTCAACGGATATGATTAAGAATTAGCGCAATAAGTCCGACTCTACAATTACCTATTTCAATTACTCACTTTCTCTCAATGGAAAGTAAAATCTGCTTTTTTAATAATAATTTATTGCCCTACATGGAGTCATGTGATATTTAGTTAATAGACTAGCTGATTAACCTCTAAAAAATACATAAAACTGTTAATAAAATAGTAGCCGTTGGAAAATTCTTTAGTCAACGTTAAAATTTCTTTATTTGTATAAACTATTTAAATACATACATACAAATCGTCAAATATTTTGCTCTCAATGAGCCTCTACATATCTCATAATCTTTTTACCCTACCAGTACAAATTTAAAATGCAATATCAATCCAGTTTTGTTCAAAAATACCATAACGTTCTGTTACGAATTATTTGTTTTGATATTCAAATAAAGTTACCAGTTCGGTAGCTTTTACAAAAGCTCTTTCACCCCTCGCAAAATGCAGATGGACTGACGGACGTCTGGTGTGAGGGTTCCATTTCGCGTTTTGAAGTGGGTGCTGAACCCCAAAAAATACAATGAGTACTTATTATCTGTGACACTTGAAGGCCTACTGGAGATTTAGGTTTGATTCGTTAGGTGTAGGGTAAAAAATGGCGGTATTTTTGCAGTCGGATAAAAATTTTACTAACAATCAATAAATTAAAACAATAAAATATCATCTTTTGTAAGTTAGTCTTTGCAAAAGGTAAGTATTGCAGTTGGCTCTTAATTTTCCACATTCTTAGGTGGCTGCCAATAATTACTGTTGTATAGGTCCTTTATTTTTCGTATTTTCCTATATTCACTATTCAGCCTTTTATGGGATATCAAGATTGTATTTAATAACTATTCATAATGTTATATTCTCATATCATTTTATTATATTCTATGTAAATAAGAAAATAATTAATACCTAATTGTTAATACATAGTTACATACCTCCATTTCTGACAATCCCCGCGAACATTATCAACAACACTATTTCACAGTGGTTCCTTAACAAAAACATCACTAAAAACCACTCTTACGTTCAACCCTGTCATTTATAATTTCATTTAAAAATCACTTCTCTATTTGTTATTTAAAAAAAGAATAAAAAATCACTTCTTTTTCATAAAAAAAAAATAAACCTGTTGAAACTCAAAGTCGTAGCACTTCAAGGGTTAAACTATAGTGTTGTCAGTAATCAAAATACTAGATCTTATTTTCCCGGAAAATAGTTCGCGGAGCACGTGTTTTCGAGTCACTGAACGAACGGAGCGCGTGTGAACCCACCGCCGGTGGATGTCACACTGACAATCTTCGCGCGGATCCCATGCATTCTGCCGTTCGCCATGTGTTGGGCTTACTAATAAGTGGCTACTAAGGGTTTTAATTAGATACTCATTCAAAAACTACTGCTCGGGAATGTTCCAGATTTTTAAACAACTTTTCCCAGTATTAGATAGACAATATTCAAAAACTTGTTCTGAAATTTTACTTTTACAGTAAATAAAAATATATCACCGATATTTAACAATACATATTTAAATGTTTAGTTTAAAAATTAATTACATTTCTATGATTACTTTATCTGAGGGACATGGAATAGATAAATACATAAGCCATTCGAGACACTAAATTAAATTCGAGTCTATTAGCGCCATCTCTAAAAAGCTTAATAGAACTCAATAGCGTTCAGTTACGTGCAAAGCATCTGAGATAGCTTTCTGAAGCTTTTGCAACCCATATCAAACTTACTACCGCCCTCTAGATTTCCCACTGTAAGGGCGATGTTCGTCGAAAGCACAGTTCTGAGCTTTTCATTCAGAGCTTTCAAGCTCACATATAATCATAAAACCAAACAGTAGATGTCGCTATAGCGGACATTACGCCATCTGCACCAAAAGATCCGCAAAGCTTTTGATTCAAAGCTCATAAAAGTTGTATCGTAATTCTACACGTAGCCACTAGATGTCACTGTTTCCGAATAGAGGCCTCTGCTGAAAATATTGTGAACTTCGAGCTTTGGGTGAGCTTTTTGTGTTGTTCTTAGATGGCAGCATGGATATTAAATCTTACTGTAATGATAATAGTAAAATATTTGTTTGTGAATTTTAAAATTAATTTTAAATTTAAGTTATGATGTTAACTTATAATCAATTAAACGAAATTAAGCTTTATGATTTATGATTGTTTCGTTTCATTTGGTCGGTCAATCTGGGCTATGATCCTGCTCTTGCTTATCTGTATGATGATGATATTATTATTATGTACAATGGGGGGAGTTTCTTAGAAATCTATTTATGAAAGTTCAACTACCAGCATTCTAGGGTTAACTTATCAAAATACACGTTTGACCTTAAAATTATGCAGCGAATTATTCTCTCATTTGAAAACCGAACGTCCCTGTTTGAAATTCCGAATGATTGATTCCAATTCGAAGTCCCGATCGCGACCAGTGTTGCCAACATTGAATATTGATTGCACAAAAGGCGTTCAACGGCAAAGCGTATTTCAATTCAAAATTATTCGAACACCACCGACTCCTTTTGAAGCTTCAAAATATGTAAGTAGCCAAATTCCAAGTCACATTTTTCTGCTTGGAACAACATTTTGCGTCTCTTTCGAACTCGTGGGGAAATTTTTCCTCTCGCTCCTAATTTTCGGTACGGAAATTCAAATTTGGCGGGTTCGCTCGCCTTTCCGTCGGAATATTTTCAAGTATAATGAACCTCTAAAGGTGGAGCAATCAATGGTAATATCAAAGGTGGATGTTTGCATCGATTTGATATTTTCAAGGTAAAACGTGAATAACGGAGATGTGTTTTTTGGACGACATAAATATTTATGTTCGACTTTCTCACTTCTCTGCAAAATTATATTTATGCTTCTTAAATACTCTTCAATCATCAGACTTGACAAGCATTGACTTATTGGCTGATTGTTATTAAACATGACTCGTTTTGCTGCCCGACCCTGCTTGTTATTTGTTATTTTTAAGGTGTTGATTAACAAAATATCCGGAACAAACTGAACTCATCTTCCCGCTATTGTTATTATGATCCGAGCTGAGTATCAATATTACCTGTCTTAAATTGTACCAAGCATTAACCCCTCGCATCCCAAACAATACCACTCAACGACCTTAAGCCACTACTCGAAGTAGCAGATTAGCGACGCACGCGCCTAATCACAAACGAAGGTAAAGCGGTTTACCAACTTGATCGAGTTAGTCCCCAAGATTCGAACAATTCGAGTAAGATTCGTCCGCTGCAGCGTTCGTTTGTGGCGCGTGACGTGCATGAGCGTTTTGATACGGGTTTATACGTAACGATTGCAGAAATAGAGTTCTTATAAGTATTTTCAACAGTTGGAACAACGCAACCCACTTACATTATTGCTAAAGGTTTTTTAGCAAATAAAATAATCATTTATTACCTACTTCTTGTATGTAAAAGTACATTGTACATGAGTAATATTTCCTTTAAGAACATTTTTCCTTCTCGCTATGTACTATTCGTAATTCAATAATAACTAAGCAACGTAAAGTAAATACTTTTTCCACTGAAACGATATACCTACTGGAAAATATTCTGCTCCTTCTTCTGCTGTGCCTTTTTTCATTTCATTTGGGATCAGCCCTCTTCGTTCTAATACGTTAAAACAATAAGTCCTAGAAAACATTACTGTTGATGACCGATATCTTGGAAAATCTCATACTTATTTTTTCCATGTAAAACTTATTGATAGATGGCTGGTAACATAGACCTTCATGGAACTTTTTCTTCTTCTTCATGTTATGTCGACAACAAACCTACAAAGTGTCAGCCCAAAGCTCTGCTACAAGAGTGGCGTTGTCAGTAGAATTCATTAAATCTTCCTGCGTGCAATTGTCGTCATGGAGCTTTTAGAAAATATGTAGGAAATGTTTTACGGTACAATCTTACCATGTAAAGGCTCCTTTCCTCAAGTGTGTCTCCACGAGTATCTGTAGAGGCAACAATCCGCAGTATTTCGCCTCTCAGCCCGAATACGGGTTTAGTGAGTTTGGCGAGTCGCATTCTCTGGTTTGTATCTCGTTTTGGGAGGATTTAGTCGTTGAGTGTCAGGTGTTCCACTTTACCATAGTTACTATTGGAAGGGTTATACTTAGTATAGAGGTATAAGACCAAGGGTGAACGTTTTGAAATTGGTCAGTGATACTTCTTTTGTATCATTTTCTGAATTTTCTATTTCGAAGTTTTCATTGCCAAATTCATATAAAAATTCTTTCCTACATATTGCATTACAGATATTTTGATCGAAAATCTTACTAAATTGGTAGGTACTGCAGTACGTTCAAGATCTCTAGTTGTACCATGCAGGCTATACGGGGAGCTTAACTAAAGCTCATGAAAAATTCATATAAAATATTTTTTATAAGAACCTACGGTTTTAAAAAGCGCCTTTACACATTCCATTCCAGTATTAGGTACTTTATTCTATTTATTACTAACCCTACCACTGCTTCGGGATTATTATTAGTTAATGGCTCAAAAAAATTAAACGTAATTTAGCTATACATACGTTTCACAGCCGGCGTCACAGTGGCGGACAACGAAAGTGTCCGGCCCGTCCGGCAGTAAATTGCGGCGGACACGTTAATCCGCACTCTTGCGGACGGCCCGCACTATCTGTTGGCCGCACTCCGCCACCTTCCGCGCATCGTGGCGAATACGCCACGGTTGGGTACGGATAGCAAAACAGTCTGAGCAAAACGCTTAGTTTTTAGGGTTCCGTAGCCAAATGACAAAAAACGGAACCCTTATAGTTTTTCAATGTGGCTTGGTATAGACTTCTCAAGACTCCTGATTCCCAATCAAACTCCGTAGGCTGATTCCAATTCTAACAGTCTGGCTGTAAAATAGCTTTTGTCATAAGTTTTTTACCTGGACCAGGACCTGAGGCCTGTGAGTAAATAGCTAGTCAATTTTTAATATATCCAAGTAATAGGATATTAAACTCTCTCACATTTTGAGAGATTTCCATTCATTCAGTTGTACACCACAAGCTCTATAGAACACTTTACTTGTCTATTCTACCTAACTCTACGGTTTAGAATTATTAAGCACTGCTTATCACTGTTGGGTTTTTATTGGCAGTCAATCTGTACTCCTGGCACTACTGGCTACACAGGAGTTGGAGCGGTGGGAACGAGAGGTGGGAATAGTCCCGTTGACCATAAAACTAAAAAGCTTTTTGCTTGAGTTTTTTGTATGCCATGTGCCAAAGTACCTGGACTACCTGGCCAGTCATAAATATTTCAATTGATAAAATCGGTGACTTCATTTTTAATACCTACCGACTTTTAAATCAAACTAAAGCCTGCAAAATATAGAATGAAATAATGATTTATTTCATTCTATATTTTGCAATAAAAAAATATATCTTAATTTGAAATATTATTTTGCCAACGCTACAGTCCGTCGCCGCGGCTATTAATCATGGTTTATCGAGTGCTAATCCAGGTTTAAATAGATAACTATTTGAGCCCGCCATTGTCATCCGAACTCGTGCAGGGTTGCCCCGGGTTTGTCTGCTATGTGAATGAGATTAATTTGAATTTGATTTTTAGTTGATAGTGACTTGGGACTTTCGAATGGAATTTAAAATTAATAATTAAGTATGTTTTATTGAGACTGGGTTAAAATGATAGTAAGAAATAATGCCATTTAGAATTTTATTTTTGTGATGATGGCTTACAGATAGGTAAGTAGTAGAGTTTTTTTAATCAGATAAATTGGTCCAACCATATTATTATGGCAATTTTTAGTAGCGTTATAAGTATTATAGCTTGTATACTATGAGTCGGAACTGTTTACTGTTCTGCGTGTACTTTTTACAAAGTACCTACTCCTACTCATTTTGTTTCTTTCAATATTAAGAGCGTTTACGTCTAGCGTGGCATGTCAAGTTTAGGTAATTTCGATGCTATTTTTATTCACACTAAAATAATTATGGCTGTGTGCGTGTTCTCACGCTCTATAGTCAAACCAAAATACTTTGATCCACCATCGTAAAAGTGTGCCAGGCTGTCAAGTGACAGCCCAAAGAAACTATAAAATCTTCAAATCTTCTAACACCGACTCCATAATTATAAATAATGGTATACATTAGTCCTAATCAATAATAAATACGTAAATTCTTTATCAAATAGTAAATTATCAAAGGTTTTTTACTATTTTGAGAATATTTTATACAGCCTATGTTCAGCAGAAAAAAAATTTAATTTTAATGGTGAGAGATTTTTTCAAATCGGTTCTATTCAAAACAAACTTTTCCTGTTTACTATTCTTTTTTTATCCGGAAAATGCATAACATTTCATACCCACCAGCTGCGGGGGCAGCTAGTGGGTTATGTGGGGTTCTTCCTACCAGAAGGTGGGTAGCCCCTACACCCACTAAAAACCTGAATGTTTCTGCCATGATCCATATGAGTGACATGAGGGAACGCGGGACATCGCTATTGGCTGTTGCCTGTAGCATTCGTCCTTAGCCGCCACCAGACACCTCCATGTCTAGCGACCGAGGCCTGTTAGGAAGGGACAGTTGGAGACCATAAGCTGTCCTCTTGCGCCCAGGGTGTCGGCGGCGGATAACCGGAGTGTCGGCTTATGTTGTTTTGTCACTTTCGTTATGTTGCAACTGTTGAAATAATTATTAATAACCTGTGTAACAAAATACCAGTGGTGTCACCTAGTGTGTTTCTTGACTAACTATCTACTCTATTAAATTATATATGATTTTTTTAAAGATACGAGTATGTCTGTTATAAAGTAAATTATTCTGAACAACAACATTATGAGTTGAAGTATGTTCTTAGTAACAACATTATTAATTAAAACAATATGATCAATGAATGTTATGAAGAAAAAAGATCTGAAAATAAAAATTATGTATTTTAAATGGTTCTTGGTAGTAACAGTATTGATAAAAAAATTATGATTACTAACTGTTATGAGCTCCGATGGTAGTAATAAAAATGTATGAATAAAAAAAGTATGAAAAATAAAATTATGAAGAGAGATTATTATGAACACAAATCGGTAGTAAGACAAAGAATAGGATTTAGAATTTTATGTGAGCCAATATAGAACCGAAAATACCCAGTCCAATACAAACAAATATGTTCATGCACACAAATGTTTGTACTGTGCGGGAATCGAACCCGCTACCTCCGGAATAGTAGTCCGTTTCGAACCACTACACCAAACCGCCGACAAAATTGCAGAGAAAACATTTTCATGTATAATATTTTATTTTACCAAGACGAGACCACATAGCTCGCACTGTTAAAAAGTTACCAGATCTCGTGTACAGTCAAGCTTCTAAAATTCTACACCCTAATATACAAGCCCTAACTTCACAAACTCTACATATTCAAAATATGCGGCTTAAAATATTTTGGGAAGGCTAGAAATTCACACTAAAGGAAAAATAGTATCCCTCATTAGCAATATAGCAATACGTCTGTGTAGATTGAACAATCTACATAATATTTTATTTTACCAAGACGAGACCACATAGCTCGCACTGTTAAAAAGTTACCAGATCTCGTGTACAGTCAAGCTTCTAAAATTCTACACCCTAATATACAAGCCCTAACTTCACAAACTCTACATATTCAAAATATGCGGCTTAAAATATTTTGGGAAGGCTAGAAATTCACACTAAAGGAAAAATAGTATCCCTCATTAGCAATATAGCAATACGTCTATGTAGATTGTTCAATCTACACATAGCTCGTAGAGACGATAGCCGTTGGGGCAGAAAAGTTCTCGAGTGGCGACCACGGACTGGAAGACGTAGCGTGGGCAGGCCTCCTACTAGGTGGACCGACGATCTAGTAAAGGTCGCAAGAAGAGCCTGGATGCGGGCAGCGCAGGACCGTGCATTGTGGAAAACCACGGAGGAATCCTTTGTCCAGCAGTCAACGTCATTTGGCTGAAACGAACGAACGAGATAGTTCAATCTATATTGTTTTAGGCTTCAAAACATTTTTACTTCAACAGGGCAAGTTCCTAATCAACGCAGAGACAGGGGCTCTCACAGTGTCGGACTGGCTGGACCGCGAGACGCAAGCCACTTACAACCTGGTGGTAGAGGCGTGGGACAACTACCAGTTTGGCTACCTCAGTGGCGAGAGCCGGAACGCTTTCAAGCAGATAGTGTAAGTTGGACGTTTTGATAGTACTTTATGTATGAATATTATCACAAGCTCTCTGTCTGTGGCTTCAAGTGAATTAATCTGTCACAGAAAGTCTTTATGACAAGCGCATTCTCGATCAAAGACACGTCTTACCAAAAATTGTAACAGTTTAACAGTCCGTGAATAAGCTAAGACGTGGCGTGTTTGCATACGTTACTAGAAAAACCATCTTTCTAAGGTCAAGCTCAGGTTCTTTTCTAAGGTCCAATCTATTTCTACACAAATTTCATCTTAGATTCAGTATTAAAGTTATGAGAGATTAACCAGTAAAATTAGGACTATCTTCCGGTGGTCTAGGTCTTCTTTAGGCTACTGAAAAAACGCTTAGGCTTGGTTGCACCATCTTACTTTAACTTTGACAAACGTCAAAAATCTGTCAAACTCCATACAAAAAGCACCGGCTATCGTCATAGTTACTGCCATAGTAAGATGGTGCAACCCACCCTTAGTCAGCTGCTTTATTTGTTTTTTCATTTTAATATTCAAATTCCCTTTTAGAGTTCACGTTGAAGACGTAAACGACAACCCGCCAATACTCCAAATGCCGGAAGAGTGTACCACCATCACGGAGTTCCACAACCACCGCGAGCCCATAGTGTCGGTGTCAGCGACTGATGCCGACGACAACTCGTCGCCGAATGGACGCGTACAGTTTCACTTAGTCGGTGGAAAAGGACACGGTACGTAGACTTACCATCATCATTTCAGCTATATGACGTCCACTGCTGAATAGGTCTCCCCCAATGATGTCCACAAAAAAAAGGCTATACTCGGTGTTTCTTTACGAGATCGAATCAGAAATGAGGAGATACTAAAGTCGCTGATATAGCCCGAAGAATTAACAAGCTGAAGTGGCAATGGGCAGGGCACATACTATGCGGAATTGACGGCTAATGGGGCAGCAAGGTACTTGAGTTGAGGACTTGAGGCCACGTACTGGAAAGCGTAGCATCGGACGTCCACCTACAAAGTGGACTGACGACTTATCATCAAGTGACGATATTAATTATGTGCAGTAAGTACGTCAGCCCACTCCTGAATAATATATTTATCATCAAGGAGTTCCACAACCACCGCGAGCCCATAGTGTCGGTGTCGGCGACCGACGCCGACGACAACTCGTCGCCGAATGGACGCGTGCAGTTTCACTTGGTCGGGGGGAAAGGACACGGTACGTAGACTTACCATCATCATTTCAGCCATAGGACGTCCACTGCTGAACATAGCCCAATGATTTCCACAAAAAGACTATGCTCGGTGTTTCTTTACGAGATCGAATCAGAAATGAGATCTGTAAACGAACTAAAGTCGCTGACATAGCCCGATTAGCAAGCTGAAGTGGCAATGGGCAGGGCACATAGTACGCAGAACTGACGGCCGATGGGGCAGCAAGGTTCTGGAGTGGAAGCCACGTACCGGAAAGCGCAGCGTAAAATCAAAAATCAAAATCAAAATCAAAAATATTTATTCAGTTTAGACCACAAGTGGCACTTATGAACGTCAATAGAAAATAATAAAAAAAGAAAAAGGTAGCCCTTATGGGGCACTTTACATGTCTCCTTATCTTTTGGGCCCTACCAGCGCTTCGAGACAAACATATGGCAAGTGCTGAGAAGAAACGCCGGAACAAACTCAGTCACCACTTATTGCCAGGAATTATCTAACGGTAAGAATAGTCAAATTTAAGTACATCAAATATGTGCAGACTGAACTGACCACGCATCCTTGTCATCAATATAGTCTCGAACCTTGTAGTACCCTTTGGACATAAGGGTATTTTTTATATGTATCTTAAATTTGTTTATTGGCAATTCGACAAGGTTGTGTGGTATTTTGTTAAATATGGTAATACATTTCCCCAAGAATGAATTACCTATCTTATGCAACCTAAATGATGGAACAGCAAGTTTATTCTTATGTCTCGTGTTAAATGAGTGGACGTCACTTTTCTTAGTAAATAAATGTATATGTTTACGGACATACATAATGTTATCAAATATGTATTGCGAAGCCACAGTCAATATATTGATTTCTTTAAAAACTTCTCTAAGTCACTTTGATTTTTGGGTATTTCACGTTTTTTTAATTTGTGATTTCTTATTGTAAAATGCTTAAATCTACAAATTTTCTCAGATAACTATTTGCCCAAGGATCTATGCTATAGGATATAAATGTTTGTTAAATCGTTTTCACAGTATTTTTATAAAAATTTTAGCTTGTAAACTGACGCTAAAGTGGAAATTTACAAAACCTGTGTGGACTTATCTTGATAGAATTCTTGAATACTAAACTAATTGCAATATTTTCTCAATTAACTATTTAGACGACGAAATTGCCTAACTATTTATGCCTATAACATATTTGTAGTATTACTGGTTAATGATTGTAACGAGTTGAAAAAGTACTGTTTTTGCGCCAAACGGCGTAAACGCTCTTAAAAGTACTGTTTCAAACAAAATAAATTATACCCAGCCCAATAATGTATGGAATTTTAAGTCTACATCAGTTCTAGAATCGAAAACGCTACCCTAAATACTTTAGTAGTGAAGAAGCATCTTCTAAGCAAGCTGACTCTATCATAGAATATTAAGGTTCAGAGTAACAAAAAGGTACTTAGAGAAAATGGAGATACTTATTAGACTCTACCTACCTAGTAGACGTAGACCTCAAGACGTCATTGGACAAAAGGTGAAATTAATAATGAACGTGTTAGAATAATCCGGGCGTTTAGGGCGACCGCAGCCCTATCAACCCTCGCTTAAACAAAAACAACTGTGCTATTGTGGTGCGAGCAGTCCCGTTGATGACATGCTGGTTGATACTCTCCTTGAGTTTTAAACATTGGATTTGTTACTTCAATCTTGATTTTAAATAACTTGAAATTTTTACGAGTTCACCCAATGGTATTAAGAGCAGTCACACGGCAAGCGGTCTTGGCTTCGATTTTCACCTTAAGCTATCGATTTTCAAGTTATTAAAAAAAAGAGATGCGACTTTTAACGCTAAACATTTTATAAACTAAGTAAGTACCTACTTCAATCTTACTTGTTACTATTTAGTAATTGATATAATGGTTAAGTCAGCTGAAAAAGTGTGGCCATATTGATAAAATATCGTAAAATTAGATTTCAAAAGTCCAAACTATGGTAGCTCTACTCTACGCGTAAGCAAATATTATTTTTTCCAATATAGCGTTTGCTAAGTAAGTAATTTATTATTGAAGCAAACTCACTTCATCATCATCATCATCTCAGCCACAGGACGTCCACTGCTGAACATAATACTTACATGTTTTAAATCTCATACTTCGCGAATCTATGCAGGGTCAAACGCGATGCCCGCAAGCCGAGTACAAGTTTAGGGTGTAACCGTCAATCCCCTCGCGTTTGTGTTAACTCAACTAATAATGTGCCGACGATTCATATTGCCCGCAGGTTTGTCCTCGACACCTGTTTTGTGGTTTGTGTACATTGTTGCCATTAAAAAGTGGAGTAATAAAGTAACAAGCTATTTATTAATAATTATGAAAGTAAGGTTAACTTTTGTTAAGTTACATATTTACTTACGCAAGTAACTTCGTAGAGGTTTCAGTCAAGAAACTCTTTCTTGCTAATAAAAAGCATTTTCATTGAATGAAACATACATTTTTTGACATACCCACTCTTCTAGTATTATGAATGTCTTATGAGGATAAAAAGCGACCAGTTACTCATAGGTAATATCCATTGACCGTCGTTCTATCAATCTATTCCATAAATAAGAGCTCGATTACTGTTGCCCAGATGATTGTTCAGATACTTAATAATCTATACTAGCAATAAAATTAAGCACAAGCCAATATTTTGTACTATGTTCATTCGAGTTTAATTTTAGAACGTTATTTAATATAGTGCAGCTACTAAATCGTATTATAAACTTATATGGTAAGGCAATTAAACAACAATAAACAATTAATTACTTCTACCGATTGCAAAACAAAGCATAAATCAAACCGAACCAAATTACCTCGCCAAAATAAACCAGAAAACGTATTTTAAATACAATTTGACAAAACGCTCGCCCGCGCCACATTTCCCGCGCTAAGCTCCTTACCGTCGGCCATTTTGTCGGGCGTCATGACGACAACAAAATGGCGGCGGTCGCGTTCTTCGCACCGTTCAATTTGAATATAGAACAGCATACGTCGCCCAAGCTCCATGACACTAACTCATCGGATTGTGTGAGATGGCGCGAGAATCGTAAAAATATATTCCTTTATTAGAACAGAAATGGAATGGAGTCGCTAAAAAGAAATGTCTATTTTTATTTTATTTAGAGGATCTTGTTTATGTCGAAAACTTTATTCATGTTGTGCGCATGATAAAACGTCTCTAGGTATTTCTAAAATATGCTGCTGTTGCCAAACTTACAATGTCATACCTATTAATATAATTACTTATTCAATAACAAAGAAATCTTTTGTTCTGATCAAACAATTATTAGGCCTCATTATAATCATGACCTAAACGGTCTTTTTATTTCCTAATTAGGTACTTTCTATTACTTTTGCCTGTTTAGTTTGAAACCACTACCCGTAATATTCGCTTATTTCGTTTAATTCTTGTCATTATTGTTGGTAAAACCATAGTACCTTACACTTAAGTAATCTACTTACCTACCTACCTATAACTTATATACTATCAAAGCAGTTCACAAAGCCTCTCAATACATTTTCTAGTCCAAAATGGAGAATCGTAAGGCAGCGCTAAGAATATGTCGGTCAAAGCGCGGGCGCGAGAGATAGCAGAAAATCCGCCGGAGCAAAATGGCGCCCAACGCGGTGGAGCAAAAATGTATTAATAACTATCCGGGAGTTGTGGTGTCAAGACCTTGCTTTATTTATGAAGTTGTTTTTGTAGAAAAGATAAACCTCAAGGTTTTGGTTCTTTTGTGCAAAATTTACCTACGTTCTTGATACTCTGAAGTTAGTCTTCATTTCACTTTTTGAACTTAGTCGAAAATGGAGCTCTGTCATATACATACTATCCTTGATATTATATTATGTATGCTTAGGGTTTTGCTTATCCTTATTGAGTGGTCCCATTCTACACAGTAAGCCAGCCATCGGGGAGCTGGTCCCAATCCCTGACGCCTCATATGACTCTAACACTATGTCTTTCTGTAATAATTATGTTCGAAAACCACCCACAATCCTTACCTTCCTTTATCGGTAGTCCCTAGTACCAGTGGCCTGAAGAACTGAACAAATAATGTATCATCAAAATCCTTTAAAAACACAAGCTTGATTTAAGCTATCTCACAATTGAAATTACCAACATGATGCAATTAACATTTATGACTATGACTATAGTGCTATATTATGTCCAAATGTTAGGACACATCACGTTCATCATCAGTACTGAATGGCAAATCGCAAACTAAAAATACTTAATTAATAGAGCCCTTAATCGACCTCCAGCTGCGGTAGAGATATCAAAACCATTCCCATACGAAACAATACGACCGCGAGTGTCCCCGATATTAATTTCAAAATCTCTTGATAGCCACTTCAGCCATACCAACTCTACTTCAACGCGATTCCATTTATATTTCTGAAATGTACTTACACCCCCTTCACAAAGTTAGGTTTTCTATCCAAATAACAATTATCGACTTTATCGCAGACAAAATAGAGTCTACAACATGTGCAATAAAATATTGGTAAAAGAAACCCAGTGCAACGCGATAGGCACTTGACGTATTAGCGGTCAAAATAAATGAACAAAGAAATGCTTCCAACGTAAAAGACGGTTCACTGGTTTTTGTAGGACACATTGTTTTTTCCGCGGTTTTTCGGAGTCCGGCCCACTGTGCGGAGAGTAGAGCAGTTGGTTTTCCTATGAGAACGGAATATGGTGCATGTGGTATTGACGTGTTAACGTTTACACGAATATCCTGTTTGCAGTGTCCAGCAAAAAACCGATCCGTTCGGATTTGTAATTCGAATTTACACGACAGTCTAGTCCAGACATGATCCAGTCATGCAGGATCCCGCAAAACTGTATTGCCGTAGGAACGAGCCCTAAAAGTGCTTAATGACTTAATAATTATAAACGAAGGTTGAGGTGTTTTCAGAAGGTGAATGAACAATTCAGTTTTCTTAAATTTTTCCTTGACATTTTCCGATATAAATATCGGCATAACGGGGCGAGGACAAATCATATAAAGCAAAGATCC